CATAAACAGATAAAGGAAAACTTAAGGTATTCAATTTAGAATACTGTTCAGAAGCCACTGACTTTCCTTTTTTCCTTTAAATAAACATTTTACATGCAAAATAAAAAGATGTCAACTTATGAGTTAACTTTGTTCCTCTTGCTACTTTGTTCCTCCTGAAGTCCAGATGCATCATCACATTACTTTTTTCAAAACCAATTTCAGTTTAATAACCCTATCTAATTGCAATTTATGCCTTTTTCCTTCACTGCATGAGTAAAGGGATAAACATCTTCTATGTTTACCTTTTCCCCTGAAACTACCTTTTCCAGAAGCTCATCCAGTAGGAAGACAAAATTTCTTGACGTGCAAAAGGGAGATGGGTACAATATGCCTGTATTCTTTGGACAAAAAGTTCATATAAATACAAAATCGTTACTCTGAAATCTTTATTAGGGGAAGTGCGAAATCAGCACACAAAGTGCTCAAGCACCTTACGTAGCCCCAGAGCAGCAGCGGAAGGCCCCCAACCCAAGGCTCTGCCCAAGTCGCTTTGCGGTGGCTGCCCAGGGCACCGTCAGCCCGACCGTGTCCGTCTGCCATGCAGCCTGGGACGGTCTGGGAACTACAGAAAGCCCCGTCATACTGTGACACCAAATGAAAGCAAACGATGGTATTTGTGTGCTCTGCCTCTTCTGTAAGGATCTGTGAACACTGCTCCCAACTCCAATGGCAAAGAATTGTTTTCACCTTTAATTAAGTTTCTTTAAATTGCCAAAACTGCAGAAGAAAGGAGACATAGCTCTGGGCACCTGCACAGCAGGACCGTTAAAGAAATCCAGACCTTCTCACGCGAGGCTTACAAGGTTAGTTTGGAAAGCACTTCGCCAACCTGTGCAGGAGGAACAAAGCTCTCCTGGACTGGTACAAACTTCCATCAGCTTTGCAACAAACCCCCCACCCTGTTCATGTTCCAGCTTTCTCCGAATTTCCCTTTTTGTCAGCCTGCTTTTTTAGCTGGCTACATACACTCACAGAATCACAGAATGGTAGGGGTTGGAAGGGACCTCTGTGGGTCATCTGGTCCAACCCCCCTGCCAAAGCAGGGTCACCTACAGCAGGCTGCACAGGACCTTGTCCAGGCGGGTCTTGAATATCTCCAGAGGAGGAGACTCCACAACCCCTCTGGGCAACCTGTTCCAGTGCTCTGTCACCCTCAGAGTGACTCTTTGACCCTCAGAGTCACTTTTCGAAAATAACTGTGACTACAAGCATATTCAACAACAGAAGCAAACACTCTCTCCATTTTCTGTTATCTACTTACATTTTATTACAGACTAATATGAAACCATCTCCTATTCATACTAGAATTATTTTAATTACTCGTGAGCAAACTTAAACCAGTCTTGAACGTTTATATTTATTGCAAGCAGATTCACGTCTCCTGCTTATACATTCTACATAAGGATCCAAAATGTGACTGAATATAAACAAGTTATATTTGGTTATCTACAGAAATAAAAGTTAAAAATAGCACTGAAAAGAAACTTTACAGTAATGCGTTCACACACTGTCTCTTCAAATCAAATAAATGATGTGGTCTAGGATAGTCTAAACATTAGATCTGAAGGCTGATTTATTTTCAAATAAATGCACCTATAATTGTACAATTAAAAGTAAGTGTCAGTATTTGGTGCTGATGACTGCAGACATCTTTAATGTTTAATGCACAGATAACTACCCCGCAGCCCCCAGACAGCAACTTTCGCAGATTCTACTTTACATTAGATCATGAAAGGACATTTAAAACGCAATGTGTACATAGCACTGGATTTATGTCAGCGACAACGCAGATTAAAATTCTGTAATTTTTCATAAGGTAAAAAATTAAAGCGATATAAACTGATTTTTAGATTATTCTGCAAAGTAGAATCACGTACTTTTTCACTTTCATAATACTTTCACGAATTTCCATTAAAGCTTTTTTAACAGACAGGAGCATGAGCACAATGATCCCACTGGCTTCCAAAAGAAAAGTAGTGCAGTTGCTCAATGAAGCTATTGGTTTCCTTTTGTATTTGCAAGCCAGCTGGGTCAAGACAAACAGGCTAATGCAAGCAAGAAAGTAAACTGTAAGCTTTTACATCAAGTGGCTGAACAAACAATTACTGTACATGGTCAACCAAACAAGATCTTTTGCCACAAGCCACTGCAGGAATATATTAACTTCAGTGGCCAAAAAGCTTGAAATACTTTCTAAGTCTTCACAGACATTTGGTTAGCGCTTACCAGTTTCAAGACATTTACAGAAGCAGTTATGGAGACACTATGCTGTTAAAGCTGCAACAATTCAAACAAGGCAAATTAGGAAGTTAAATAGATTTTTATACTTCTCCCCTTTAATTCTTTTCTTTTTTAATACATAAAACCCTCCTTTCAGTGTCCCATCCATAATAAAACCTTCTGATGCATTTTGAGATCTAACTTCTACTGTTTTGTCTTTGTATCGTCTGATCTGTTCACAGCGAAGGGCCACGTGGACACCTGCGGCAGCGGACGAGGTTTGCGTGGCAACAGTAACAGGGACGGCAGCCAAAGCACATCAAGTGAAACCGAATTGATGTCTTACGGCTTTTCCATTCAACCGTCTATTTTAACTAACAAACACTACCAACTTTTAAAGGTAAAAGTATTGCTAAATCAAAACAGAAACTTCCACTTAAATTCAAGCATTTTTTCTCCTCCAACAAATGACATGTTTAACTAAAATCTCCCAAGTGCTTGTATAGGTGTTTCAGCCTGAATGACACTGTCAGTAATTTCTAAGTGGAGGGCTACATGAAGCTTGCAATAAACGGCTTTGTTAGTAGGCAGAACAGGGATGCAGCATTTTCAAAAACATCAAGCAAAAAATCTCCTTATTTAAGGCTAAAAGATGGAACTCAGAAAAGTAAAAAAGCAGGAGGCCTTCTAGAGTAAAAAAGCTAGCAGTAATAGCACGGCACTGAAATTACAGCGCTCTAATCGCCGCTGCCACAAATACCAACAAAACATCAAGAGTTTGGGTGAGACTGACAGAGCAATAGACCTGGATTTCTAATTTGACATTCATTAGAATTTTAACATTCAGCCACAACTCCGCTCTAAGCTAAATTTCAGTGGCCAAAACTCATAGGTATAAAAAAAGCCTTCAAAACATATACTTAAAAAAAAATAGAAATGGTGTGTTAACAAACGTATGCGTAAACCAGATTTATAAATAGCTACAGTATGAAAAATATTTCAGTGCAAAGGCAATTTTAAGATTTCTAAAAAATACATTACAAATAATTTGTTAACTACACACAAGAAATTTGTCACTGCTACTGGTATAAAATCTATACCCATATTAACTTTTTAAAAATATATACACCAGTGTTTTATGTAGGGGACGGCTCTGACTGACCAACATTCAAGTCTGCAATGGCAAGTGTATGTACACACCCCCCCCCCACGTGGATTTCAAAATATTACTACTGTGAGGATATTCTTTGAAACTTAAAAGTGCTACATGTTATATGGTAAAAATACCTTCATCTGTGGTGCTCACCATTAGACTTTTAAAAATTCTCTTATCTTTGGTATACTGAAAATTTCACAACTCACCTTAAAATCTGTGCTTGTCCCAGGGCATTTTAATCATATTTCACTGTTTGTTTAATGCAAAAATCACTTGGAATATTGTGAGGAACATTTCCTAGTAAGTTGATTTTTCTTTTAATAAGAAGTAGATTAGTAAGTAAACTATTTTGCCTTTTTTTTTTAAAAAAAAAAAAAACAGAAAAAGGGAAACGTTTTTTCTCTGCCACCCTAGTCCATTTGAAAGACACCTAACAATGTCTTGGCCAGGTCTTCCAATAAAGGCTGCAGGTCCAATTCCAAATATTTTGTTGTCACATGAAATACATTTTTAGCTAACGTCCTCCCAGAGGTATTTAATGACTATGGTTATTAACCAGTTCTACCCACCAGGCTGAAATTGACTGAAATCAAGATTGCTCCTTCTGATATTTTTGCACCCCAAAATAAAACACTGGACTGAAGAAACAAGACAAGGACACAGCTAACAGCTGAATCAGTGCACGGTAACGTAAATGTAGCAGAGAAAACAGAAGTGCAAGTTGGCTGTCATTCTTACAGTAACTCAAACAGCACCCCTGCAGTCCAACTAGTTTCTGTATCACCACCACGGTTCAACCGTCAGTGAACCGCCGTGTGCCACCTCGTGGCTTGCTCGCAGACGTTGTGTGCTCTCTAACACATCTACAGAGCCGCTTAGCCAGTATTTAACCACACACTCACAATAAAAGTCAGAGGATGAATCCAAATAGTAAAAGACGCTTATTTGGAAAAACTGCCTTTCTTCTCGTAAGGGAAAAACGCGTCAAAAATAATCTTGATGTATGATACTTTCTGCTGTGCATATTCTGCGGTCACGGGGGTAAGAAGTGGGGACGCTGGGTAACCCGCACCTTTGACAAGTTCAGAGACCTTCTAGGCAAAATGCTTACACTCAGTTTTTGAGTAGCAGATAGCAACGTTGATGATATTTACCTATTTAACAGCCAACTTGACTTCCTATAGCGCGTACATACTCTACACAAGGGTTGTTTTGCCTGTCTTTCTAAGGGGGAAGACTAACGGAAAACCAGACACAGCCCTGATTTGGCCACTTACAAGGAAGTGAACATTAGAGAGTGTTTCTTGAAAGCAGATTTGCACAGAGGAAACACCAGTTTGTTCTACAGAAAGAGCAAAGAAAGAAAAAGGACAGAGGAAAATCAGAAACAGCACTCGTTAAATACGCTTTAGGAGGCTTTCATGGGAGATAACTGAGGTCATTGCTTCTGGCTGAAAATTAAAACTGTTGATCTCAAAGTGTAGGTCACTGACTGAAACTATACACTTCAAGTAACAAGACAATGACTAAAGATGACAGAAGCGGTAAATGCACAAAAGTCTTGACACAGGATGAAGAGAATTTTTAGTGCTACCAGTCTCACAGTACCAGACTGTGCGGATTGTTCAATTGCTCCAGTAGTTCAAAACATAAAAAGAGGCCTATTGGCCTGGAAGGGTTCATACTTCTAGCTCTTGATCCTGTTTGTCTGAACATTACCTCAGACAGCAAAAGCCACGTATAGTTTAATATATTTCTGTGACACGTTTGTTTCCTGAAAGAAGAAATAAACAAAAATACAGTTTTTAAAGGCTTGACTTGGTGGTGTGTCATACTGACGTTTCCAAACCTGACTCACTGTAGCGGTAGCCTGCACTGGAACGGCAAGGCTTATTTGAATAGCCAAAGACAGATGGAAGTATTGAATAATCAACGCCTCTCCAGTGCGTAAACATCATTTTTTTAGAATGAGAATTAGACCTTCTTGCTGGGGAATTGCTGCAGTCACTGCTCCTGTATCCTGGGCTTTTCAGACAGGCAAGAGGTGTGAATTCTGAGATGTGCTCCCGACAGTGCCTTGATGCATTCTGTTAAAAGGAAAAAAAACCCCAAATACACAGTAAATAGATGGTTTTGGAGCTAAAAGTGTAGCAATTGTGCTCTTTCATAGGGCTGTTGTGCCCTTAGCATAATAGTGCCTTTCACTAGATCGCCACTCTGGCTATTTGTTTCATGTAAAGGTACAAACCCTCACGGTGTTGAGCAATCAACCATTTTCAACATGACCAGTTTTATATTAAGACTTACACCACCAGGCATAATCTTACATATAATCTCTAAACCTGATAATGGACTCTTTAGAGAACAGATGAGGACACAGAGGACTGCTTTCAAGTTGAACTGTTTTAAGTCAGGTTTATATTTCATTTTGCAATCTCTCCTGGTACATCTTTTTATCTCTGAACTTTTTTAGACAAGATTTCTTACAGGGAAATTTTAAGACAGGACAGATTCAAGTACTTTGTCCTGTATTTCCAAAGAGAGGGAATTCTTTACAGTCTGTCTGTGCTACTACATGAAAGTTCCAGAGGTTTAATGCACTTGCTTCGTATTTCTAAGCAGTATCTTATTTTGGACTTGCTTAGATTACCAGTAGCATCTATATAGGCAATTTATATTACAGATCACAATACTACCTTGGTCTAATTGTCCATTAAAATTTATCTGTACCACATAACTACTCCACACTCTGGCGGAATCGGTACTTACACTCAGGAAATACTCAGGACTACAGTAACACCACAGTTGCCTGACAAGGCCCTGGAACTTGCACAGACTAAATGAAAATTAGCACAGCACCTTCACCAACGAGTTTATCTAATTCTTCTCACTAACTGCACACATAATTTCCAGTTACTGTTACAGTGGTATGGAGGTTATGTGACTATATTTAAGATATAAATGCATCATAGGCACGATCGAAATCAATGTTATCAATCACTCCATGAATGCTATAGAAGGCAACTACTCCTCTATTCTTATGCATCCCCTTCCTCCTTCCCTGTTAACAGCAACACAGAAACAAAAGGGACAAAATCACAAATTAAATGTTAATGATGTAGCTTATGGAAGTTTGGCTGAGATTTAATATTACACTTTCAATGCCAATTGCAAGTTTGAAACACTACTCTTGCATAACCAAGAGCAATCAGAAAGCTCTCTTATGACAGTTACTCTTGGAAAAGTCTGCAAACTATAGCAAACTGCTCACTAACAGTGAGGCCTGGGTTCTTTCCAACACACATATAGACCAAATACCAACATTAATACAGAAAACGGTAGATAATCAGATCACAGACTGGCAGACTTTGTCTTGGAAATGTTGGAGGGAGTAGTCATACACTGTATGGTAACTGTTTTTCCTATTCTTCCAGCTAGGAAGTGAAGCATTTTAGTTACCATACGTATTTCTAAAAATAAAATCATGCTTTCTCCATGCATAGCTCCAAGGCAGGTGCTTTCAACCTGCCATGCCTGAAGCTACTCAAGAAAGCTGCTGTTTTTTACTACTACTTGTTTAGCAGTCATTAAACGTGCCCCTCAGCTACCTTGAAGCCCTACAGCCCACACCAGCACATTACATTGCTTTTGTCCTCTTCACATATTGGTACTTTGCACCTGCACTTAGTTCCTCATGTGCCGGGAACTAAGTGGGTCAGGAGAGCATGAAGGGACCAGAGCAGATGCGGCATCCAGGTGGGAATGTATCCGAGTAAAAAGAGCACCTTCCTACTTATATGTGTTTGTGTAATCAGTGGCGTGGCAAGGAAACGATGTAAAGCAGAGACTTCATTCTACTGCCCTAATGTTTGAGGATTCGGAGCTCAGCGCTCACACTGCTGTCCTGGGTATCTGGCAAGGCTACCACACTTCTCTCTCGATCCCAGGCAGCAACGCAGCGACGTGCTGGTCCATACAGAACACAGAGCTCTGGTAGATACTGTCAGCTATGCTGCCCCGGTCTCCTGATCCAAGGGCCTACTCACACAAATAACTCGCTTCCTTTTGTGTGTTATCTTCCTGTTTTACTGTCTGCATTTGGTCTATATATGTATGCAAGAGCATGAGAGATGATGGATAAACTGCTTGTGTGTGAGAATTACTTCTGACTTGATGTCTTCTACACCATGTTGTAATGGGAGTACACTCTGCAGTAACGACTGCAGTTCTTCTAGAAGAAATTCACACAACACCTGTACGTCACAGTGCATCTACAGGACTTAAATATGGGTATATTGAGTCATTATTTTGCCTTATATGAGTAAGTGTCTGAGACAAAAAGATCTTACCTGTAGCACGGAATGTCTCTTGCAAAAACTAGGCTCTCCCAGTAAAACATAATGATTTTGTATCAATATTGATAAAGTACATCAAAAACTCTGGAGGAAACAGTTGATTTGTAAATAGCACAGTTCACCAATAGCAATTAATCCAAACTGGCAACACGTACAATACTGTTACCTAGCTTTGATCTAAGCTGAAAGATTTCCTTCAAGAAGTGGCCCATCGCTGCTCGCCAGTGCATTTAGGGCTGTATTATGTCTCACACTCTTCTGCAAGGATGAGGAAAAACAGTGAGACTCTTGCTGAATACAAGAGGGAAATGTGAATGAGTTGTACCATTCGGTACAAATGCAACTACTGTAGCAAAGTCCTGTACAAGTGATGGATTTTCTGACAGAAGTAAAAAGGAAAGGTTATCCAGTATAAAACAAGGCTGCTACTTCTCGATCCTGAGGTTAATCCTTTGAGCCACTCTGAGCATGTTTTTAATTCCATTTTGAACTCTGTTAAAAATACTTCATTACTCTCAAAAGCACTTAACTGTACCGTGACTAAGTACCTTGGGCTGCGTGTCCTGCCCCTCTGACAATAACCTGTACTGAACCGGAGAGGTCCCCGTGATATGATGAGGCCAAATCGATTCCAAACTAAGGAGCAGATGTCCCGCTTCACTACTCCCCAGAATAACCAGTACAATGAAGGGAGCACTGCCCACAGAGCTGCTGGGGCTGGAGCCAAGGAAGGCTGACTTACAGCTTAGTCATTGCACCATGGAGAGAGAGGGCAGGTGGCATTACCAAGGTCACTTCTTCCACGGGATTCAAATATTGCAACAGCAAGACCCATTTCTTTCTTTCCCATAAAAGAGGAGCCTGACACATGACAAAGGCGACAGTTTGCTGGTGACCAGTTTTCTAGGAGCACTGTGCGGTTCAACAGCAGCTAAGCCCATGGAGGAACAGAAAAGTGATGAATCCCCAGAGAGGCTTCCCCAGGCAAAAGTACCGCCTGCGGTTTCCCCAAGCGCGGCAAAGGGTAGAGATCTCATACCAAGGCTGATGGGCCAATCTTGTGACTGAAGTGAAAGCGAAGTGAAAAAAGCATCAGTCAGAAGTGAAGAGAAAAAGAAAAATATTTCTGGAAAAGGGATAAAAACACAGAAGTTATTTACAGCTCAGAATCAAAACACCTGGCATTTCAGCTAGAAAATATTTGGGATTGCTGAAACATTGTCAATCAAAATGACAATTATAAAAATGAAGAGGATAATTTAAAGTCAATTCATTTTTTCCATAACAGATCTGCTGAGCTTCTGCTATTAATGAAAGAATAAAGAAAAAGGAAATATAATCAATTAATGTAGACAGGATATACTAAAAAAATATCCTATTGCTTTTTAGAAGTAAAGGCTGAAAGAAACCTCACAGCTGCACAATTTCCAGTTAAAGCACAAAATTCAGCTTGTTTCATTGAGCCAAAGAGTCACTGGGACTACACGTATAAGAAATGGTAAGATTTTGACCAAAATTACCAAAAAGCAACAGATTCCTCCAAAGCTTTTGCAGAATTCATGGTTTAGCCCAAGAAAGACAACAGTTCACAGGTGTGTGTATGCATATAAAAACATGCATTCACACATATATACATGTACATGTATGTACATATATGTATGTGTATACACACATACATATATGTCTCTGTGTATGTACATATATGTATGCATATACACACATACATATATGTCTCTGTGTATGTGTGTGTGTATATATCTATCTATCTCATGGAAAAGCTCTCTGAAAACCCCCCCAGAACTGTATCTGGAATGTTTAAAAACCTCTGAATGATAATGATGGTAAACAATCACCCACCACACACTGGAGTGACTCTCTAATAACTGAAAAATTTGAAAGAGTTGCCTCAAAGGCTTTATGTGATCTTCTTGCCTGAGGAGAACTAATACAGTAACCTGAGAGGTGGCTGCTAGTCCTATGTTAATCTTCTCAACTGTTCCAGAAGCCCTTTTATTACAGAGAAAGCAATATAGCTTACAGGAATGCAGTAAGTTTAAAAATAATTGGTTAAAAGCTCAGTTCAAAACAATCCTAAGGCTAATTAGGATAAGCTAATTTTAGCCAGAATTTTCAATATTGAAAAAACTTTGTGTATTTTCCCTGACTTACATAATTACAGTCATTTTTATTGACTGTACATTTTTGAAGGGGGAAAGAAAGAGGAAATGTATTTTTTATCTTAACCAGTTAAGAAATAAAGATATAAAATCTGCAATGGAAACCAATAGTCTCCTAGTATTAAGTCAAAAGGAGTTTTCTTGCAGGCTGTAGGGAAGCCAAGGTTTACTAGCACCACTTCTACTTGTATATTAACTGTCATATACTTCTGGATCTTGAGCTGTTTTCTTTCTAGAAAGAGCAAAGAATTTCACAAAATGAAATATAAAGAAAGCTCAGTTTCAAAATGCATGCTGGAAATAACTTATTAATAAAAAAGTTGGGTTTTCATCTATCACAGCAGAGCAGATACATTAATATATTCCTAAGATTGTTTAAATGGCTTCCAGTACCACATTTTCCGTATTACACTAGTAACATCAGCATAATCAGAATTACCACTTCTTTGCGTGGCAACTATTTCATTTACTCAGGTACAATGCAAGCATGACATGCATTCACCTACAAACAGACCAACAATTACAATGAGGATCTACGGATCCCAGATTCTTGAGGCAGAAAGATCATGTAAAATTCAGCAACAACAGTGACAAATGACAGCGATAGTGATGGATTATGACAACGATTCATAGAATCTTTGGGATAAACAAACAGAAGAAGGAAAAAGCTATACTAAAAAGTATTCTTCAAAATACAGTTGACGTGAATCAGAAATGGAGATCATGAGTATGGTAAATAACTTCTGATGATTAACTTCTTACTGTCCTTTGAATGAAATGGCCAAGCATGCAGAAAGGCAGAAAAAAGTCACCTTTTGTTCCATTAGAAACTTAGACTGCTTGAAGTCTGAGAAAGCATAAAGATGGTGGACTGCTCAACAGAAAGGCACTGATGCTTAGTCTGATTTCCCCAGGAGATTGTAGGAAGTAACCGTGCACATCATTTATGTTTAAAGCAAGGCAGCAGTTATTTAGACAAAGTGCATTGGAAGATAGGAAGAAACAAAGACAGGGAAGAAGAAACACAAGGGATATATCTGGTTAAAAGTCAAAGATTTTCTACTAAATATTAAAAAATGAATATTGCCAGGGTTAAGCCCAAAGTTTACAATTGATTCATTTTCCAGCACGAACATACAATGTTTGTAAGAAACATGGTAATACCTTTGTTTGGGGCTTTGGTTTGCTAGCTTGTTTCTTTGCACTAACCCATCCTCATTCTCTCTCTTTAGACTTTAAAATTAAGCATGCAGAACCTATAGTGAGACCAACTTCTTCAACAAGTAGCATATATGGCAGAGACATATCTATTACAGATACTGAAATACAAAAACAGCTCTATGTTCATCTGCCTGGGAATGCTTTCCTGCTATTCTTTATGCTTTCCTGTCCTCCTGAAGTGTGGCATTTTCACAACTGTACGTTCAAGGAATACAAAACAATGGCAAGGGGTTTTACTTTACAGATATGAGAGAATTTTTTACCTTTGCCAAAGGGGAAATTTTACTTTCCTTGGAAGTAAAGTTTCTTTATTCCTTTCCCCTTAATGCAAAGTGTCTTCTCAAATAAACACTCAAATGCTAACTAATCCCTACACACACAGTTGCTGGTAACCCATTATTTTAACCTGCCATTGACACCTGATGGCCTGAAAAGGGCAAGGGCAGTAACATCAAGTTTTAGATTCAACACCTCTACTATCCTTCGCCTTCTAGCATATATATGAAAGTTTGCTGGGGTCAAAAATATAGCTAACATGTTCTGTTGAGGTTGGTTTGACAGCCCCAGAATAGTACCACGCTTCTCACAGAACCTGGCTTCCCTTTTGGGCTCAGCAGAGCAGGCCCGTATTTACACCACACTTTCTCCTTTTGGGTTGATCAGAAGAAAGGAGACAACAGATTTTAAAATACTCTTCCTATTGGCACAGTGAGGCACATTTATGTAGAAATAATGTATCAGGACAGGCAAAATGTAAGTTGAAATATAAAAGAGGAAAAATTGTTAATAGAATATGAGTAAGTTTTAATACATGTGTTTTTGTAACAGACACAGCATTAGTATAAAATAGTTTGCTAAGAAAGTATTATATTACACAGATCATGCAATATGCATGTTGGCATGAGTTTACTACATATTCCTTACCAACATACTATATATTCATCACATTTATTTTAAGTGTACAAATTCTAGATTTGTTCAATAATAAAACACATATGCAGTTGTAGAGTCCCTTGGTATAGGATTGCATCCCTACTTTAAAGGGGATTTCAATAAAACCACATGGTCCCTTCCTACCGGTTTTATTTTGAGCTTAGCTTATTTTAGCTGGTTTTCCATTTTAGATAACTATGTTCAGCTTGCATGTTAAATGCTAAAACGTCCACACTAGTTTCATCTATGCAGTAAAATGGACTTTGTATAAAAGATAATTAATTCAATTCTGGGATGCAGGCAGTGCCTCCGAATACTCCAAAACAGCAGGAACAACTGCTGTCCAGGCCGATGTAAGTGCCTCCTATCTACCCTCATGGAGATCCCAGTCCCTTCACCCTTCTTCCTGCCTCACATCAGGAACCATGCTGAGCCATGTACCTGTCTCCCACCATCCTCATCAGCTGATTTCCCCACAGTTGCTGGTAGGGAGGCATAGGGATTGCCCCAGGATTCATTTAAATACCACCAAGTAAATAATAGGCAGCATCTTTCACCATGGCGCTCAGAAGCAGCTGGCATTCAACCAGTGACACACACCACAGGTGGGGAACCTCTGTTCTAATCTTGTCTCTGACCTTGAAAGAGGTGTAATATATAAGAGACTTGTGATACAAAAAAACTAACTTCACGGTGAAAAACATTTTTACCTGGATTCTTTCTGTTGCTGTAGGCCACAACTGTCTGCATAAGACCTTCTTCAGAACATCTGGAAGAAGGCTGACAGTTATGAGCAGAATTATACCCAGCCACGCAGGACCACTAGACAGCATTTGCATGAACACGTAATACATCCTCTGATAATTGAGAAAAGGCCTAGTAGGAAAAAGATTAAATAGATATTACACTTCAATACACAAAAGAAAGACTGGCAACATTAAATACAAAAACTATGACAGTGATGAAATACTTCAGGTTCAACTTTCCAGTCGGTGGAGTTCATCCATCCCAGTTTTCTCAAAAGGAGATCTAAACATGCGCTTACTAGAGATAACTACCTTCCCTGTGTCTTCCAGGCTGCAGGAAATGCCATCTGTCCTCCCTCCCATGCTGCCTCTCCCTTGCAAAGATAAACTAATTTACATTCTTATCCTGTTTATGCTCTTCCATCTACTCCTTATCTTGACCCAGATATTTTCCACCTTTCTTCTCAGTGTCCCATCCATCACTTCCCTCGTCTTTCCCAAGGCACACTCATTTGCATGTATCCTCAGAGTAAGGCTCATTGACCACACCTTTCTTCATACCTCCCCAGCTCCCCTAAGCATCTCTGATGCTTTCATGTTATGCTCCCTAACCAGTCACCGCATTTTTATCTGCCCCCACTTTCACGACCTTCACTTCTGTGTTTCCCTGTATCTCCATGGCAGCTGTGTGGTCATTAAAACACCATCACGGTACAGTAATGGGAACCAGAGGCCATGTTTACTGAAAGCAAAGATTAATGGACAGTTTGTAGCAACAGTACAATGTAAAGCCCTCCTACTAGCAGAGCAGTTTTATGCTAGTTTCCAAGATTTGATAGAAGTCTTTGCAATCTAAAAAGGTAATCAAGTTAAAATACATTGCTGCATATAAATAGTCACAGCAAGCCTGGCTGGAAAACATTAGCACGGAAAATATAATTTCTGCAAACTGTTTTCATCTTGATGCTAAAGAAACCGAGATCTGATCTTACTGAAAAAAAGCAGAGGCTACTGAATATCCAAGGAGTTGACATGTGGTTACTCATTTGCAAAGGACACACTGAAATGCAAATCCTTACTCCAAATTAAATGGCACCTTAATCACCACGCAACAGTAAGGCTCTGCTTTCTCCCTGGTTCCTCAAAATGTCTCCTTGGGCATACAAAGTATAACAGTTCCAGCAGAAGAGGTTACAAGAGACAACCTTGTAACTGGGCACTCTACAGGTGAGAAATGCAAGTTCAAGCTCCTGACGGCAATCAGGCACAGTAAGAGCTTGAATCTGTTTCGACTTGATCTCCTTCTCAAAAATTTCAGTTTCAAGCGCACAGAAATTTTTAATAGAAGAAAGCCCCCACTACTTTCAATCAGCTATGTACAAGAGTTCTACTAATTCTTAGAAAGCTTCTTACCAACTGCAGAACAAGCAGGTGCTCAGACATTTACAGTAAATCTACTTTGCTAAAGAAGGGGGCAAATAATGAGCTCAAACACAGGACTCCTGGTCACCCACACAACTCCAGTGTTAGTTCTGCTCCCTGGCCCTGGTTTAGTCTGCTGCAGCTAGTTCCCTCCAAGACCAGCCGAGTAGGTGAGTGACTAACCCCAGGCTGCACAGGCATGGCCTACTCTCTGACATTTTGCCTCAGACAGCCAGCCCCAGCTACCCCAGCCCACCCTGGGACTGCTTTTGGCCGATACTACTGAGACAGCCCCAGCGGCAGCCTGAGGTCTGATACTCTTCTCTTTGTAGTCTTCTCTCAAAATGTTTTAGCAGCCAGTCAGTGAAAGAAGACCTGAGCATTCTGTAATTGCTGTTACTGATGTGTTTAAAATGTGACTGCTATTCGGAGTTCTGCAATGCATAAAAGCTAAATGTAATTCTATTTGGGACAAAAAGTGAAACATATAACAACATTGTAACAACTGTCTCTGACATGACATTTGTGATGCAATTTATATTAGGGTTCATACCAAATAATTCCTCCCCAGAGCAGAGAAAAGATGATGTAGAATACCAGTGATCCCCAGATCATGAAGTGATTTATCCACGTCCAGTAGTGTGTATCTAGTGCAAGCTGAAAAAAAAACAGATGAGATTATATGGTGTTACTACTATCTAGCAGCGACAGAATACTCAGGAGATGAAATAAAATGACACCCTTTGAAAAAAAGGGAAGGATTCTGTACAGAATTAGCTAAAAGTAGTTTTACAATTTTGAGCACAGTTAAGAAGGCACAGATAGCAAAAACTGTATTTAAACTAAACTAATACGACAATGTACGGTCATACAGAGAAATTGATATAAGTAAGCAGCAATTGGAAAACAAGCTCTAAGTTTCAATGGATAAACTACAGCATACCTTACCTTCAATGTAACCGTGAATACAAGCACAGTGAAAACCAGTGTTCCAAAGGTCCAGTTTCCAAACACCTACAAAAAAATGGCCCAAAGCAGTTATAGGTAATATTATCCACTACTTTGTTAATTGTCCAGAATAAATCTCTTAAAGTTATGTATTGCTTTGTATCAGGAACTGACACATAAGCAACAACACTGAATAATTACATGATCTATCCAGTGCAAATTATTTTGGTTTCTCACCCTTGTGTGTACACACCTCAGATTTCATAGACAGGAAAGAAACCCACAATCAATGCACTCAACCTAAATTTCACAGGTATGTTTCTTAATAAAAATGAAGTGTAGCACAATTAACAAATCACTGAGATTTACAAACGAGCTGCAATAATTTCATCAATCTTCTTAAACATCATATTTTCTCTGTCTTCCTCCTCTGCTGTCCTTGGTGTTCCACAATTTCTTGGAGGTTCAACAGCATGTCATACAGATAAGTAACAGTACAAGAAAGAATGTGATAACCATCAATGCCATCTAAGTACATGACTGTTCTACACACATTTTAAGATAGAACACTTTTGAACTTGGATTTTTCTCCCCACCTACATCATGAAATCAAAACACTTCAGCTTTTCAAACGGGCAGAAATGATCATTAATGCAAATGGAGGGAAGAACTGGTGTTAAAAACGGTCACAGAGGATTGCGTGGACTGCAGCAGGTACAAGACAACCAGGATCCAGGGAAAGTAAGCAACAGAGTTCGGACACTGTATTTTAGGGGAGGAGACTGTTTTATTCGGAGCATTGCACACATGAAAGAGAAGGGTGCCCAAGGGACTGAATGATTTTGAAAGAGGAAAAATGGTGAGATCTCATGAACCGTCTTCTGCAGGAAGACATGAAATTGCAGCAGAAGACCCAGATGGCCAAGCAGGACACTTCTCAATGAATAAAAAGGCAAAATGGGAGCACAGAAGAGATGAGAATATGGGCAGGCAGCAAACGGGTAATGTGAAAGCATTACCTGGGTATAGAGGAACAAAATCACACAGGCTGAAGCTCAGCTCAAACTCTGATTAGTAAGGAGTGTTGAGGGCAACAAAAAGGATATTTACGGGTATCCTAGCTTCAAAGGGAAAACATAAGTCCACTGATGGAGTGGTAAGGCAACCTAGTGGAAGGTGTTAAAGAAAACGCTGAAGTATTCAATACTCAGGATATTAGTCTTCAAGAGCAAAGCCTGCTCCTTGCATTTAACAGCAAAGCTTGGGAATGAAAGGAGCAGCCAATAGTGTGGGAGCAACAGGTTAAGGAGTGGTTAGGGAGGGAGAGCAGTGGATGAAATCTATTTTGAATTTATCAAGGCATTTGACACTTGACTCGAACAGCATTCTCGTTTGGACCATAAGGAAGCCCAGGCTGGGTAAACAGACTACTACTTGAGTTGAAAACTGGCTAAATCACTGGGCTCAAAAGTTTAGTGATCAACGACCTGATGTTTGGTTGCTGCTGGTAGTCAGTGAACTACACCGGGGACTGTTAGTGGGGCTGACACCGCTGAATATCTCTGTCAGTGGCCTGGATGGTGACACAGAGCATCATGAGCGAATTGCCAGGTGGTACAAAAATAAAGAATGGCTGACATAATGAATGGCAGTGTCTCAACCAAGAGGCACCTCTATTGATCTGAGAAGTGGGCTAACAGGTATCTTAGGACTTTCAAGGAAGGGTGCAAAGTCTTGACACCCATGGAAGAGTAATGCCACATTTTCCAACTTACTGGCTGAGCAACAGCCCTAATGAAAAGGAAGCTGCAGTGGGGTTACAGTGGACTCCAGCCTGAATACAAGCCTCTACTGAGCTCCCTCTATAAATACGGGAAACTGCAAACCGAGCTGTATTGGGAGGAACATGGCCACTGAATCAAGAAATGTTCTCACTCCCCTCAGCCACAGTGAGGTTGAACCTGGAACATCATGCCCAGTTTTGGGCCTCTCAGTCCAGGAGGGGTGTGAAAAAAATTGGAAAGGATGAAGTGGCAGGCAACCAAAATGGTTAGCAGTCTGTAGCTCTCCTGTGAAGAGAGGCTGAAGGACTTAGGTAGTCTGGCGGAGGGGAACACAACTATTTGAAGAACAATTACAAAGCTGATTAACTGTAACAGACCTCTAACTGTAACAGACCTCTCTTCATCAACAAGAAAACTTCTGCTTAGGTATTAGGAGAATTTTTTTCACTATGAAGGCAGAAAAACATTGGAACAGGCTGACCATGAAGGTTACTGAATCGCCATCCTCAGGTATACTCAAAACTGGAAAAAGACTAGAAAAAGTCTTAAGCAGCTGCACAAAGCAGGGAGTTGAACTGTATCACCTCCAGGGTCCCTTCTCACCCAATATTCAGTGACAGGGGATCCACATGGGCAACTGATAGCACGAATGTGCTGCCATGGGAAAAAGTCCGAATGGAGACCACAGCCAGCCACAAGAGAGATATCTGTAGTAAGCCAGGCTGAGATAATCTGATCAAGTGGGAATAGAAAACCATTTAAAAAATAAAAAAGTGACTGGCTGAAATATTCATTATTCTGAGTAACCATTTCGTTATTTTAAAATTACTCAATGTGTGACCAAGTGTACAGCACACAAGATGAAGTGCAGAAAACCTTCAGCATTTTGATCTTTTACTTTGATTCCTGACGTAATAATTGAATAGGGTCATGCCTTGTTACAATATTTTGTGTGCCCTAAAAATAAAACCCAACAAAAAACCAAACCCAGTGCAGTTAAAACTAGACAGGAATCTGGCTCAGGAACTTCAAATTATGCAAACATTTACCAACTTTCTTCTTTCAGTTAAATTTTTACAATACTCTCATGTCATATTTGGCATCTCTTGGAGAGCCCAGTGTCCGTCTAAGTTTCTACCCACTGAACAGATGTGTCCATGCTTCCAATAAAAGCTGTTAGGTTAAGTAAAAAAGTTTAAACAATCTTCCCCTACCTCTGTTTCTCAGGCTAGATAGAAAGCATCAGGCTGCAACCAAACCCTTCACCTACCCAACTTTTCAGTTCAGAGAACGAGGTCATAGCACAGGGACACCAGACTCCATAAGGCTGCTAATTTGGAACAGAGAAAAGTCAGCAGAGCAATATGGGAGGTGTGAGTTACAAAAACTCACAGTGTGTTTTCAGCATTGACTATCTCAAGACACTACTCATCTTTAGGCTGTGAATCATTCTTTTGCAAGTCTGTTTGTTAACAAGTATTCTTCCATGCTCTCCTCCCAGCCTATCCAAGACTTCCACCACTCCTCCTACAACTGTACTTGTTGCATCTTCCATGTTGCTGTTTGACCCACTCCACATCAAACTTTCAAATAAAAAAAAAAAATCACACAGGAAATACATTTTATTTTATGGGTAAAACTCAGATGACATTTACAATTTGCAACCACTTCTACAGTGCCTTCTTTTCTTCTTACCCTCCTTATGCAGTTGGTCTCTGACTATGTGCTTTTACAACACCAACCATGTCATATCCAAAGTGCAACCCCATACACAAAGTAATATCACAAATTAATAAGAGAGAAATCTTTGGCATCTTAGTTTTCTTTACCAGGAAATGATTGAGGCAGGCATTTATGAAGTAAATCTCAGCGATTAAAAGTACACTTTGACATTATTCTAGTAACATCAGTCTACGGCATGCAAACAGTTTCAAACAAATTTCTAAACACTGAGAAACATCCTGGGGGGATTATGTTTGGAAGTAAGCTTAATGGTATGTAAACTGTAGTATGAAGCAGGAATCAATCTATATGAAAGATGCTGACTTTCTTCGATTATTTGAATCATCTTATATCACTGATGTTATTAGTGTTACCTTCAGACCTTTTATGCCCTTTCCAGCCTTCTACCTTTTCCCTGTTCCATAATAGCATATTGTTGTGGTAAACTTTTCAAATATTCAAATCTTTCATTGATTTTTTCCAGATGTGAACATAATTTAAACACTTGGAAGTAACCATGAAAAGCAACTAACATGAATGTATGAATTCATGAAAGTCTCTGACTATTCCTGAACACCAACATTTTCAAGCCTTTAAATCTAAAACTGCAACTCAAAATCTGTAAGTTTTATATGAACACACAAGCATGCATGCTGAATGATGATGAATTTTCTAACCCACTCTGACACTCAAGAGTCAGAATGTCTCATCAAGCAATACATTTTATCATAAAATGTTGACATGGTTATCTAGTTGCAGACACACACATCCAAAATTTGGAAACTGGGCACTAGTCTGGCTTTAAAGCTTTATTAAGAAGAATTTGATTTAATGTCTGCAACAGAAGTAGACTAAAATTTCAAAAAGGAACCCAGTCAGAATATTTGCAATAGAAACTGCTTATAAAATGTGTACAGGTATTAGAAGTCTAATTTTCAGGACTAGAATTACAAGCTGATGCAGAGTTTTGAACATCTGACAGAAAACTGTGCACAGTTACGTCTAATGGAAATTCATTCTGTCCTTAGAAAAGCTCTAACAAGCGTTCTCTCACACACTAGAAGTTCATTTCACTCACAGATGTCACAAAGTTGGTATTTAATGATATTTCCACATTGCATATCTAGCAAACATGTATGTTACATATAGGCCACAAAATTGTGCCCAGTTAATTTTCTCTCACTTTAAGGGTCTTTTCTAATGCCATTCAAACACTTCAGAGCATAAATTGTAATAAATTTTCTATAGCAGAGAGTCAGTAACAAAATGTAGGTAACAGAAAAGCATAGAACAAAATAACAAAATGCAAAGAAGCAAAAAGCCTATTTATTTTTTAAAGTTCACGGCTCTTTACCACATCTTATATACCTTAATATACCTTACGTAATTATTTATATTTTAGGTACTTATAAAGTAGCAATAGAAAACATATCTATCTATAGGTTTAGGTGATATTTTGAAATAATTACAGGAAATATTTAACTGCTCTTTAACAGTTTAATTAAAGAACAGTGAAAGATGAAATGGATATCATGACAAATCTGCAATAGCCTTACCATGTGAGTGCTGGTTGTCATTAGCTGAGGATAGGAAGAGAAGCAAGTAGCAAAAAGAAAAAAGCACACAAATAAAATAGACCAAAATATCAACGGGTAAAATAAATAAAAAGCAAAAGCTCTTAAAATTTGCATTCATGTGACTGCAAAGCAAGTAGAGATAGATAATTTTAAGCTACCATATGTAAAAAACAATTCGGATATTAAAAAGCTTGCTATATTTAAGCTCTTTTATGATCATTTGCAAATACTCTAACCAATAAAGTAACCAATGTCTTTTGATATGTTAATCAGACATTCATCAGATGCATGTTAGGCACGAAACAGAAAAGTTACTATGTAAAATCTGAAGGAATACTTGGAATTTACAATATGTATTTCTCCAAAATTGTATCTTAGTCCTATGCCTCTGTTTACTGATAAAAAGAATTCCTATCGCATAGTTCAGACTTTGCTAAACAGATAACCCATCTATCTCACCATAACTCATAGAACAGTTATCATCTGTGCTGGAAATCTTGAAGAAAACAATTAAAACTATGTTCATAGCACACTTGACATTACAAAAAAATTACCTTTGATTGACTGATCAAGTCCAACACTAACCTGTCCATTGCTGGTCACAATTGTGTTGTCAAACAAGAAATAGGCACCAAAAAAAAATACCACAGCATCAAACACTCCTAGGAATGTCCAATAAATAAATGCACGCCAGCGCAGCAAAGCATTCTTGGCAACATCTCTGTGTAATACAAGATATATGCATTCATTACCAGCACGTTCAAAAATCCTAGACAAATTATGTCACTCATTGTTTTTTGAAGGAAAAACAATTAAGAGATTGCATGCAAAACCACCACATTCCACATGACAACTGGCTACAATTCACACCCAAATCCTTCCTGAAAGTCTTCTCTTACTTTTTAATTTAACTTTTACTAAACCCTTTTAAATGCTGCCTGTAATTCTGCCTATTTCAACCGTACGCTAAATTCTCCTGTGCTGCACCCATTTACTTTTCAATCTTTTTACGGAAGGTGTCTTTTTGCCCGTATTTGCTGTGCATGTGATGATCCACCGTGTATTTTAAACGGAAACACTAGAGGTCTCTGGAGACTTTGCTTTATTTCCCATGGGGTACTTCTACACAGAATACAAAACAAGTTATTCATTTTATGTGGAACATGCAAAAAAAAGGATTTCGTAGCGGAGTTGAAGCTTCAGGTCAAATTCAATTTCTTGAATGTTTTCCCACAAAAAATACAGGGATTGGTCAACAAGAGGACTGTTCAGTAGCTTGTGTTTTCATATAACAGAAAAATCCAAATATTACAACTTTAGTTCTTGCACACAGAATGAGTATATATATCAACTTGGCATACATCATAGAACACAAAGTAAATCAGAACACAGTTAAATGAAAACCCTGAATTACAAAAGCATCTACTACCAACCAGTACTTTCACCATATGCACTTTAAAACCTGTCTGATGACCATATGAATTATTTTCTCCCCACAAATTACCAATATACAGTGCAAAACCATATGTGGCTAACAGAAGCCTCATCTGGCCTAGAACAATTGCACTATTGCCCAAAACAGCTTAGCAATAGACTGTTAGATATCAAGAAAACAGAAGTTTTTGACCAAATGACCTCTGACAGCATTCAAAAACCAAAGAGGTCTTCTGAATGACCATTTCTAAAATGAAAACATTCAAAATAGAGAAAACAAAAATGGGGTGTTCGGTCTCAACAGTAGTATCTTGCATTCCTCTTCAATTTCACAGATAAAACCACACCACTGCATTGATTAACCTTCGGCCATCTAATATTACCTCTCTCAAAAAATGTTTTCCTTTTGATTATGTACTGTTACCACTCTCCGAAATGTACTGACTTCACAGCTACAAGAATCAAAATTGGACACTGTTCCTAATTTAGATGGCCACATGCAGTTAATTGGCAAGAACTGTATTTCAAGTGACTGAGAAGCTAAAGCAGCCATAATTCCAATGCCCAGCAGCGAGTCAACAATATGCAGAGGACAATGTTGGACACCACACAGAATACATCCTATGTTACAACACTCTACGACTCAGACTTCTTTTCTTGAAGAATAAAATATATGTATAGAAGAAACAGTATGTTTCCTCTTTTTAAAATACTTCTGCCCCACATGGCTGGAGGAAATAGTACTAAAACAAATCATATTTTGATTTGAAGAACAGTAATTTCTATTTTGCTCTCACTCACTAATGTAGCAAATGAATGGTGTGGATTGCAGTATGTAAATATACATGTAAAAATACATGCTTATCTACTGTAGTTTATAGACTGTGCACACGGTCCTCAACCCTTCTGTGGCAGAGGACTGATTGTAACAGAGACAGATCCCACAACTGGACAGTCAAACTTTGGGGCACAATGTATTAATTTTACCTGTATAGGGAAGGCTCTCTCTTGAGTGTGTCTGCACTGACATGTTGTTCCATTAGACCATACAAGAGGATAGGAAGTGAAGTGAAACTGATATTGTACAGTGTTAGATACGCAGTATCATATAAAGTCTGTAAATGGAAAAGAATTAAATCAGCCAGTTTTAATTTTAAACCACGATCCACTGAATGACACTCGATTTAAAATGAATGAGTCAACTTCTTCAGAAAAAAACAGAACTATGTCCCTTCAGGATGCAGGCAAAGATCCCTGAACAGCTGCTAACTGACATACGACACAACTCTGCACTTGTACCCCATTCATCTGGAGGACAAAAGGTCAACTAAAAGATCAGTTCAATCCTCTGGCCTACATACTGGCCTCTCCTGTCATCTCAACTGCAGACCAACTCCGAACTACCCAAACTGAACAACAACAGATTCCTGTAGAGGCAGGAATTCCTCTCCGGCACATCCACCCCGCCTTCGATCTCTTCCACCTCTACGTCACATGGAGGCATGCAGGGAGGCAGGGGGGTACTCCAGAGGTTCTACAGCTGTGCGTGACTGCAATGGACAAAGAAACACCCCAACATGTCTTTCATTCTTCCTCCTACTTAACTATTTTTCCATGTATGTATGTTCATCATTGTTAACTGGCCCTCAAACTTCTCACACCACCCCATAAAAAGAGTTGTTTATTTCCCAAAATCTATTTGGTGATCATTTATGCTGTAAAGATTGCTGTCAAAACCCTCTTTTTGATTGAGAATTATATCTAGCACCTAACAGCAGATTAAATTTTCATCAACATATGATTTCATATCTAAATCCTAATAATGCTTGATAAAAACCTACAAAGTTCTGAGTGGTCATTTGAAATTAAAACAGACAAAAAACCCAGTTCTGTCATTTTTGCTCCTCCTGGAGCTTTCTTTTGAGACATTCCACCAATTCAAAGCGACAATACTATTTTCTCCCAACTAAATCCTCCTCTTGTCCAATTTAATCCTGAAAACTTAATCCACTTTTTGTCTAAGTCCAGTCATTCATTCCTTTGGTTTTTTGCTCCCTCGTTCCAAAGAAAGAAGAGAAAGATTTTTCAGGACAAATTAGAGGAGAGCAAGGGGGAAAAGTAAAAAAAAAAAGCTAGCTAGGAGAATACTGGATCCTCTCCTGAATGATGCTACTTTTCTGGTGAGCAGCCGTTCACTTTTCTTCTATCTTTCCACGTTTATTTTTTTTTTGCTTTTCAACTAATTGAATGCTGCTATTTGTCTGAAGCTTGCAATTCACACCTGTACACGGAGAAGACTAGTCTAATCTCCCATTTTCATTCTGAATTCTAAAAACGAACAACTAGTTCAATTACTTATATTTCAAGATTGCCTCTGTTCTTGTTCAATAAGCTTAAACCTAACAGACTTTACAATTTCCACAGACATTTTATTTTGCATTTGCCATTTCCAAATTTTGATTTCCTGTTTTCTTTGACTTTGAAAATAACATTGCTTTCATGATAATCCATAAAATTAACTTAACTGCAACTGCCACTGAAAACCACATGAACCAAAAGCGATGCTCTTCTTTTTACAATGTGTAAACTAACCTAGAAATTTTCTCAGCTGAACAGACACAGTGTTAAAGGATCCATTTTTTTAAAAAATGCCAAAGAGAAAATGTGGCAGTGAGGGAAAAAGAACTAACCTGTTGTGAAAACCCACAGAAGAACTGATATAAAAACTGAGGAAAAATGAAGCAGACATTCTGAAAGACAAAGTCACACCGTTATCAAGTGAAATATAAGCACTAATTTCTATGCTGTACAATGCTACAGCTACATATATCATGGTTTTGTAACACTAGTAACAGTAAACACTGCAGGACCCATACAAAGAGCTGCTACATTAAACACCAACATTCTCATCTTAGAGTAGTATACTGCTAGGAAAAATACTTAAAATATTTTGAAAGCAAATTAATATGGCTACAGTTTCAAAATTCAAGGACAATGAACTTTGTGATCCAGGAACACAATTCAGTCAAGGCAAGGCAAATAAGGCAGAATCCACAACAGGACAAGCAAGCATGGATATTCTGGTCAGCATGGTTCCTAGCAAAATAAGTGTAAGATGTTCCTAGCTGTGACCCCAAACTTTATGCTCTCCTAACTACACATATAGCCAAACACTAAGATCTTGAAATATCTTCTGAAGGTTCCTTTCTACTATCTTTCACTGCTTACTGAAAGAACTCCTATTGGATCCCAACATTTAGACACAACAAAACTGTCTAAACATGGGGATGCGCATTATAAACTTTCTCCACCTACACTATCCCAACATATTTAGAAATGAATGTAAATTCAGCTATGCTAAGTTCTCAGACACTATTTCCATCTCGATTTAAAAGGCGACCGGAGAGATAACCCAGAAGGTACTCACGGGGGGGACACAAAGCAAATTTTGCTTTTAAACATACCATAGATTACAGAATATATCTATACAAAAGCTATTTCACTTCATGGCCTGGATAAAAGCAATAATCCCATTTCAGCTTGGCATCTGGCACTCAACAAAATCTCTTTATGGAATTACTGCTTTTTTGTAACATTGACTGTGCAAACTGTATAGAGTTAGATAATACCACGTAAGTTTTTGAGATTTATGTAACTGAAATAAGCCTTCTCCTACCTTATAAAAGAAGTATTGCACAAGTTCCGATATCCTAACATAATAAAAATGCCCATGAACAAGCAACATTTTTTTCAAATGTTTAAATTTAGGTATTGCATAGTCACTGTTTCTCGCTGCTTGACGACCTTCTTTGCCAATGATTCCTTTAAAAAAAAAGTGATAAATCTGTTTAATAACTGAAGATTTCAAAGATAAAATTACTTGAAACATTATACAATAAGGCTATGACATTGATCTAATAAGATATCACCACTGTACCTCACAAAATTCCTGGGGTAAATTCACTAAATATTGTCTATAAACTGCACAATCTGATTCTTGGAGACTGACTGTTTTTAAGAGGTATATGTTTTTTGTCCTTCCATTTTGTTTAATATTCCAAAAAGCACACTTACCTATACCAACATGTGCTTCTAGAATCATACTGACATCATTTGCTCCATCACCAATTGCTAATGTGATAGGATGCTCCTTTGATAACTTTATCAATTTTACAATCTGGAAAAAAATAGTGTTAAAAACTCTTCTCCATAACGGTTTGCTTATTTTGCATGAACGCACAATTAATTAAAAATGACCAACATAGTTATCTAAGAAATTCTGCGAAGGGACACAAAAACAGTATTACCAAATGCAACTACTAACAATAGCTTTTTCATATTAAAAGTATTTGCTCCAAATAAAAAAAATAATGTTTTTCAGATCCTTCCAAACTCTTTGGAGACAGATGGACAGGAGGAGGGAAGAGCAGAAGAAAGGAAGATGTTGTTGCGATTGCTTAATGCTGTGTAAGCGCATTAATAAATTAAAAGGGTTCCAGAGACAGAGCATACAATTTCAAAGAAATCCTGAAACTAAAGACTGAAAGATTCTGCTACATTAAATAGTAAGAAAAAATTTCAGCACAGTTAAGATAACAGGACTCTGTGTATATCTAAACACTCCTGACATCAAAACTATCCAAAAATGTGACTTTAAATCTCTCCATTATAATGATCACTTCTGTAAATTTGGTACCAAGTCACCTGCAACTAAAAACTTCAACAAACTTCCAGAAAGTTTATGGTGCTGGCTAAATACATTTGATAAAATTAATAAGAGCTACACATGCTGTACCTCAGCACTGACAAAAAGACACCAGAGTTCGAAAGGAAAAAATAAGTGTGTACTCCAGCATCTGATTCCTTCAAAAGTTCTTCAGCTATATCATAGAAACATCAGAGATGTTTCAGTAATGGAAGGATGTGTTTTCACTTGATGCAAACTAGTATACAACAGTCAAGAAGTACTTAAAAGTGGTAATGCACACATTTTTCTGTCTGGATTCTTCTTTCTTGGCGTCGCAATTACATTAAAAATAGAGAAGAAATATCACTCCACAGCAATAAATAATGCAAGTACTTGTAGTATCAACAGATAGTAGACTATTCAAAGCTCGTTAGGTTAAAAAGGAAGCAATTAGTTCAGTTCATTAAATACGTTCACTTATCAGCATGTACCAACCATAAAATTTGCACAATATGTACATAAATCAAAATCAGGTGCACAGCTGGGTACAATTTCAGCATACCATTATCAAAATTGCTTCCAGTAGAAATTTTCCCCTTCCCCCCTTTTTTTTCTTTTTCCATTTTACAATATACAAAAGTGAATGGTAACAATTTAAGTTATCCTAACCAGTCATACAGAATATTAACTTTCAGTATTTACACATGCACAGCTAACAAACAATTACAAGCTGAAATACAAACCTGTGCTTTTTGCAGAGGTGCCATTCGACAGCATAACACTGCACTGCAGTTCCTGCAAATTTCAAGAAAGAGCTCTCTGTAGTTACCAGAGCTCCCATCTTGTCTTGGTTTCATTATTAATGATAATGCTGCTCCATCAATAATTAAACCGTAATCTTGCATATCAGTTGAAAGTCTGTTCAGGGATAAAATATAAACTAAGAGTCACTGTAAAATTCTCTGAAATACTTTATATTGGGCAATAGTTCTTTTGTGAAAATTAATTAATGAAAAATAACAAGTATGGAATACTGTGAGAGTAATATACTTCTAAAGGAAATTCCTTGTGTAGGACTGCTATTTAGGACATTTTAAAATTCTAGAGTATGCTGAAAATATTCAGTGCTTCACCATTCGAAAGACAGAAGTCTGATACCTCAGTGACTTCATCAGTGAGTATGAGTGTATAATTAATACCCTTTCAGTTTGGTTTGAAAGGGCTCCAAGAACTGCAGTGAGGTAAACCTAGTGGGAGGGATAAAGTTAATTTTGTGGCACATTCCACAATACAGAGAAAAAAGGTTAAAGGGAAAGGCCTTTGGTACTCCAGAATCTATTTTGATGAGGAAAATGATCCTATTTTTCCAAGGGTCTACATTTAATGAGGTAAACCATGCTTTGAAGGAAATGCCTAAATGAGACTTGTTGGTCTGAAGACATAAGGCCACTGTCTACATTTACAGTATGTATACTTTGCATTTGCTGGCTAAGTCCGACACAGGTATACCTGTAATTATAATACTAAAATGTAATAAGTATATATGTTGTCTATAACATTACAACATACTATTATACACAATAATCTATTACTGGTATACCTGTATTAATTTGGGCATCATTAGAAGTGTAATCATGGTCGCAGGAAGCACATTTTACCACAATAACATATGCTGAACAAGGTGGGAAAATGGTCCACACTACAAAGCCATTTTCTGTGGCACCCAAACTAGTTATTTCAACGCGCCTTCGCATTTGACTGCATTACACAGCAGCCTCAGGCTCCAGCTCAGCAGCAAGTGTTGTATAAACATACTTTGAGGTTTATTTGTGCTCTAGTTTCAGTGCTCCCAGGTTATACTACTGTTCATGGGTTTTTAACAAACATGGTTTCACCAGGACCAATGCTTGTGAGGAAAACACCACATTTATTAATTTATTTCAAGCATCTCCATCTTCACTACTAGAACACAAGCTATATTTGACAAATAATACAAAGTACTGTAAACTATATTTAATAACAGTTCACAGGTATTTTCAGCACATTGTTACCATTGGCACAAATAGGGCAACACCATTGTTATACAATGATATAAATCAAAAACGTATTGTTATGAAGTTTAGGAAATGTACTGAATGTTTGATGTATTATAGTGAAAAATTTTCATCCTGAATTTGAACAACCAGGCAGAATCCTGCTATTACTATCCTGGCACATTCTCCAACTCTGGAGCTAAAGACAAAAAATTCTAATGAGTCTCAATGTCGGAAGAAAATCCGCATTGCACAAAAGGTTAAACAAGCATATTTAAAGATAACTTGTAAGACCTGTAGGACTTAAGCTAAATGTGGTACAGATGACAGAAATATTATTTATTTAACTGAACATACAAATGTTCTTGATTAGACCAATGGGGTTTAAAGTGCAAGGAGAGCTAAGAAAAATGCTCTGGCACAGAGTTTCAAGCTCTAAGGCTAAGAGTTATACAAACTCTTTGCTAAAATAGTATCACAAATGCTTGTGAGTTTGTTGTTCCTTTACTACGAGCTTATTACAAATGCATATTAAAATGTACTTGCTAGCTGGTTCCATTTTAAAAAGAAAAACTAATCAAATATGCATCATTATGTCTAGTAACGGCTTCTCTTAACACCTTAAGATGATAAAAACATTTTAGAATCCAGTTCTTAGGCTTTTACAGTGGGGGGAAAAAAGAGCAAGTAATGCGAAATAGCTACAAAGCTTCAAACAAATAGCCTAATTTACTATTTGTATGATGTATAACATATCATATGATGTATAACATGATGTATATGTATAACGTATATACATTATACCTGGGGTTTTTTTTTAATGCCATTCTCTGTCTTATTCCATGTTCTGTTTCACTTCTGTATACGTGATACATATCCTTCTATGGACATTCAAAATACACAGAAATCAATTATTTCTTTATAATTTAGGGCACTGAGTATTTTCATGCACACCAGAAGATTTGGTACTATGCTGCTGCCTGTCACCTCTCTGGAAACGTACCATAATCTTCCCTAGAAAGAGGGCCACATATTGTTGCTCTCTGTGGCCTTGGTCGTATCAAGGAAGTCACATCACTTACTAACTCTGATTACAAGAACATATCATATCTGCTTCCTTTTTAAAAGCTAGAAACAGTATTTTGCCTTACAATAATTTTTTCCATTAATAAATATTTTTGCAGTGGAAAAATTACAATGTCAGTTGCGATTTTTCTTTGAACAGTTAAAACAGTACCAGAAATGAGAAAGAACCACGACTGTGAAAATTTAAACTTATGTGGAACAAACTTATACTTAATTGCCATACAATAATTCACACTTTAATAACAGAAACTGAAACGTACTATGTTGCTACTCTTAACGTATTTGAGCAATCATTTAATTGTTTATGAAATGCACAGAAGTTCATTCCTGGATTGAAAATCCAACTTTTGCCTTACCCTGAGAAAGTATCCCTGGTTAAGCTGCCATTGTGTCTAAGGACAGTTTTGCTTAGGTCAAAAAGCACATCATGTAAACTCTGTTCCTCAATTTTCTTTGTGGTTAGCTCAAGTATTTGTGTATTTCTCCGGAAGAGTTTGCAAGCATAGCAAGTAGCTGCAGCGGTCTCCATTTTGTCTCCTGTCAGAACCCAAACTTTAATTCCAGCTTTCTGGAGTGCTTCAATAGTGTCAGCAGCTTTTTCTTGCAGTCTGTGGAAGTCAATTGACAACATACATTGATAGATTGTTTGGAAATGAGAAATTCAGAGGTCCTTATTGAAAGGTTTCCACAGCCAAATAAAAAAAAAAAAAATCCATAAAAGTTACCAGATTAAGAATTTTCCCCAAGGTATAAATCTAAAAATATTTAGAGGAGTAGTACATTATACATAATTAGTTTTGACACTTTCAAAGTGCTCAAAGTTTCACCTTTCATTTATACAGCCTAAAAGACAAGTTGCTTCATTCCCAAGACAAGTACTTCAATTAAAACATTTTCAGTGCTTTCAGCTAATAACATCAAACACTGAAGTACTGATGAGTTACCTCCCAGTTTTAACAGTTTTTGAATTTTAAGACTTAAAGATTCTTCCTTCATTTCCTCAATACCCATTCTGTACATCTTTCCTCTAAAAATTTTCTCTAGAATTTGTTCAATAAGGTATTACATTATATGCATGAAAATGTCTAGAATATACTGATTTTTGTACACTTAAGTATTGTTACTAGCTTAGTAAATCATAAAGTTACCGCATGTAACCTTAGTAAGCTAAGGATATGGAATTGATTCAAATAAAGGGTTTTTCAAATAAATCTCTAATCCAGAAAGAGAGTTACAAAAGACTCTTCAACTACTTTGGTAACATCACTAAACACAGGGGTCCTGGTTTTGGCTGGGACAGAGTTAATTTCCCTCCCAGTAGCTGCTGTGTTTTGGATTTAGTGCAAGAATGTTGATAACGCTGATGTTTTCAGTTGTTCCTATAAAAGGACTTTTTCCCGTTCCCTATGCCCAGCTAATGAGCAGGTGTGCAGGAGCTGGGAGGAAGCACAGCCAGGCAGACAGCCAAGCTGGCCAGGGGAGATATTCCACACCACAGAGGCCATGTTCAGTTTATGAACGGGGGTTGGCTGGAGGGAGAAAGGGGTTTTTTAGCTTTTTGATTTTCCAGGAGTTGGAATCCTCTCTTGGCCAGGAGTTCAAACTTTTTTTTTCAGGCTGTGAATCAGTCATTGGGTGCTGAGAAAAATTATATTGTATATAGTTTGTTTTGCATATTCATTATTATCTTCGTTACTATTATGAGTATTATTAGCAGCACTAGTGTTTCCTTTGTTGCCTTATTAAACTGTCTTTATCTCAACCCACGAGTTTCCCCTTTTGTCCATTTCTCCTCCCCATCCTGCTGGAGGGGAGGGGTGAGTGAGTGGCTGTGTTGCCAGCTGCTGGGTTAAACCACAACAATAAGAAACTAAGAAATGTACTAACCGATCTTCAACAGCTGTAGCACCAAGTAAAATAAAATCTCTTTCTATCTTCTCATACACTTCTGCCAATTTCTTTTCCCGGTCCTGCAGGGCCAGCTTTGCATTCTGAAGCAGCTTCTGTGCGTTGCTATATTCTTCTGCTGTGAGCTTTTTATACGCAACGCACAATGTTCGCAGTCCCTCCTGAAGAATGTAATCAAAAGAAACAAAATGCCTCTTAGAAAACTCTTCTAAGACTTCTTGCTGGTGTGTATGCTAGAATATTTGAAAAATTGTAATGATTTTACTATTAACATGAAGAGTCCCACTACTCACTTTTATGGTGAAGTGAGTATAGTATAGACAACCATGGTACAGTCTAGACCAGAACATGGATCAGCTTGATTCTGTGCTGCCCTGGAAGCAGTTACAACCTGAGGAACAAACCTCAGTCCTCCCGAAGAGAAACAGCTCAGCCACCCAACTGGATGTATAAGATTACCAGGGAAAGGAGAGTCAGTGTAAAGGTCTCCTTCCCTATGTGTATAATTAGGCAGGAGGAGTCAGAATAAATAACAATAATAGAAATAGTAGCTCTGCAGAGTCTGATTTTGATGGTGTGTTGCAGCAGAGACAGGGACAAACAATCACAGAGACCGCTGAAAGTGAAAATCCAAGCATGACATTTCAGTCAAGTGAAAACTACAATTTAGCTGTGGATGTTTCAGACTGGATCAGACTTCTGGACTGTGTGATGAGTAAGAAAGGGAGTGTATAGACTGTGTAAGGTGGGAAAAAGATGCTATAACACAGAAAGGAAGTTGTACCACCTCAGATACATTGCCTCTCACAACATCACCTACTGGGGCTTTATCTTCATAAACTTGAATCCTGTAGGTCTTTGTATCGGTGCTTCTTACCAATTCAAGAAGAAGTATTAAAAAAGCTCCCTGACTCTCGCTATTGATAAAGGCAGGTGCCAGGTGGCTGCCTGCATATTCTTTCAGAAGCTTCTGCATGTAGGAGCCAGCCCTATTTCCAGTTATCCAGGATGAAGAAATAGCTGTTGGTATGGATTTCTCTCTTGAAAGACATTGTATGGATATGACATGTAAATACTTCTTTCAGTTTCATTAGACTCCTTCACTTATAATGATCAGAAAGCTGTTTCATATAGTAAAGCTTAGCAAAGCACCTTGGCAAAAGTTTTGAAGATCCCCTTCAAAACAAAAGCGGGTAACACTAGGTATTTTTTCACATGCCTGCAATATTACTTTGTTTTCAGTTTGAATACTGGATGACAGCAAATTACATCCTATAAGACTGGCAGACATATTCCACTGCAATGGGCTCTGCATATTTTTGAACACAAGCAAAATTCAGTATTTTGCAACTCCAAATACTACCTTCTAGATAAAACCAAGTTCTGAATTTCTTTTAATGGTGATCAGGTAGTTCATAGCTCATTTTTAGCACGCAAAAACACATAAGTATATGGCTGATCACTGCACCGTTTCCCCACAAGAAGTGCAGTTGTTGGTATACTGTGCTCTAATGGATTTTCTCTTAAGAGCTTGTAAAGCAGTCAAAGGCAGCAAATCACAATTGCTAAGGATTGAGACTGAAAGCAGGGATGAGATTTTCAGTGAAGTTTTTCAGTTTTCTTTCATTCAAAAGTTAATTCGAACCACTGCAGTGCCATAATAAAAAGCTAAATGATGACCTCTGGTATAAAATACAGTTGTGCATATCTAATGCACTCATATCTCACCACAACTGCCATTTGGAAGATGAGATGGAAGGCAGATTCAAACAAGGGAGTAACACAGACTGCTACCCATACAGCCTGTGTGCACTTTGGCATAGAATAACCTCGGTGCCTGGGAAGACAAATCAGTTACCACATCAAGCAGCAGGTCAGAACACTTAGGGGTTTTTTGACACTGATTATTACATAAACAAATCAAGAAAATGGAATCTTACCACAGCATTGCGTTCAACTCTGGATCGTACTTGGTCAATTTTGCCTTCTTTAACTCTAGGAAATATGGAAGAATCTGCTCCCTTACAAAACAGAAATATATCACCTAAAAGAGACAGCATATGGAATTCAAAATGGCCAAATGTATCTTTCTTCAAAAAATCCAAATTGCTAAGTCTTCAAAAAGATTACTTCCACCTTTCTTGTAACATTTCCATTCATGCTGGTACCTGGTCCCCTTTTTTTATAAAGGCAGGCAAAAAGACTGTAATTAATGCTTAACTCTATGACAAACCTAAAATAAATTCAAGTGAAACAAAAATATCTAAGAAGAAACAGAATGTGACAGCCCTACCTGTTGAAGACTTAACAATTACACTCATTCGCCGTCTCACAGAATCAAAACTCAAAACCTCCAACAATTCAAACCTGAAACAGAAACAGAGTATTTTTTTTAAACAACTCTGCTTTTCCAGCTCCCTAAACTGGCTATTATGACTTCAGGTATATCAAGTAAAACGTGACTTCTAACATGGAAAATTATGCTGAGTACTATGAAATACAGAACTAGTATAGAATAAAACAGCAAGTTACAAATAACAAATAGGTGAGGCCCTCAGCTCCCACTTAATTGAGACAGAACTTGTCTGCTTGACATTCATAAGTATCTTTGGATGTACAGTCAATATATATTATTTAAACAGAAGACTAGAAACCTTGTGGTAGAGCACTGTACTGCTTATAAAACAAGTAAATTTCTACCTATCATACCTAGGCATAGCCTTAGAACTTGAGATGCATCGGTGTTTATATAGAAGTCTTTATTTAGTATTTTTCTAATTTCAGCTATTCCTGTCTCCCAGAAGTGCCCACCTAATTTCATGAAACTTGCTCAAGTGTTGACTGACATGTTATTCAAGTGAAAAAACATTTCTTTTTGCTGGTTTTATATTTGCCATTGTTTTTATGATTTGATTTTATGCCATGTTCCTTTCCTTTCTAGGAGAAAAAATGAACACAAGCTCCTGTTATACTGCCTCTGTGTAATTCATCAGTTTATATACTTCCATCATTTATGCTCTTATCTATTTCCTTTTATCTAAGAGAGTTCCCCTTTTCCCAGTAGCACAAAAATAAGCATCTCAGTCATTAATCCCAGTCTCTTCAGGATTCATCTCTGTTATTATTATGCTTATAAAATAGATCTGCTTATTTCGTTAGATTACTCAGTTCTAAGTCCTTACAACAGCCTGGGATTCAAACCTGTGCAAGGCCACAGAGTTTGTTTCATTAAAAGTTCCAGCAGATTCTAACAAGGAGCTGGATCAGGCCTGTCTACAAACTGCAATGCATTTTGAAGAAAATTCCTAATAATGACAGTGCTTTCATAAATCATCAAATGATACTGACTCCAGTTCTTATAAGCTGAGCCACAAAAGTCTGAAGTAACTTTCGGGAAAAATCTTCCATATTCCCCTAAAGGAGGGGAAAATATCAGCAGGGTTCCTGTATTTGTATCCAAGAGTCCCTGTGTAGTTAGCAGAGTACACGTGCAGGAAGACACAGACATACAACAGCCTTAACCAGCAGACCTCTACAGAAGTGCAAGGTAACATTTTCAAAAGTATGTACATCCCATTAAACAGATGTACTACTTAAATGTTACTGAAAAATTTACTCATATTATGGTCTACAAGACTCATTCAACATGTCAAAGGAAAATGACAAAAAATAGTACTGGTTTTAAACTTTCTTTGAACCAGTTACAAAAATTTATTCTACACATACCACTCCTGTAAATTATACGGATTATTTGTGAACAACAAATAGGGTACATACCATATTCTCTTAAGAAAATACTGTTTACTATATTACAAAGGAAAAACACTCACAGTTCCTAAAACTATTAGGAACTGTTAGATTAGTTCATGAACCCCACACCACACCTTTGTTGTTCTATTAGTATTTCATATTGCATATACTGTCAAACTAACAGACTAAGTAAAAATGTAGAACTACAGGGTCTATTAAAATTACAACTATCAGTAGATCATTTATTTTTCTACTAAAGAATGATTCATTAAACACATGAGCAAAAACTCCTCATCAGTCTATTTTGTTGTATTTTTAACCACTCACTTTTCTACGTTATTTTCCCGATTTAAGATCTCCATGAAATTGTCCTTCAGCCTTAGATAGGTGTAACCAAGTCTGTAAAATAAAATACATATCAAGAGAATGAATACAACAAATAAATAATCATCCAGCTTAAGCATGTCATAAGGATTTAAGACCAAGCTTATCTTTCGAAAAAAAATCCAAACTGTTTTTATTTGATTTATGAACATGAATAATCATGACTGCATGTTAAGAAAATAATCAGCTCTAGATTATTTGGTGTTTATTATGATTTTTGTGCTGAAAACAATTTGAACTTCAGTGATTTGATCTCTAGATCAAGAAAGTATAACACCTAATTTCACACATACCTCTGTATTCCCTCAACTAAAGCAACTTCATCAGGTGATGATGAAATATATATACAAGATCTTCTTGAAAGCCGGTTTTTCTTCAATCCATCTACGCTGTCATCATCTTTTACCTGAACAGTGTGGCAAAGACAAAGAGCTCGGAAAAACAGGTCCTCCCTCTCCTAAAACATAAAAGGAATGGTTGTCATTATGTGCGATCACTTTCAAGTATTCCTTTGAAAGCTTTGCTTTCGAAGGTCAGCAATGCCACTGATCACTACTATTTATGATCAGATAAAGGCAGTGCCACAGGTCTCCAGCCCTTCAGGGGGAGCCAAGTCTTTCCCAGCAGTAATCACAGAACTGCTTAACAGCTGCTAGTGCTACTAACGCTGCCGTACAAGCCAGGCTGCCGATGCCCAAGAAAGAGCGAGCATCTTTTGCCTCCTCTGAGTGCCTAGATGCGGCTAAAGGGGTTTTTCTTTACTTTTACTTAAGCTTTAACAACCTGTATTAAATACTAGTCAAGGTACAATTTTAGGAGTCCTGAGTCCAGACAGAGGGACGCAGCACCTGGAGTACAAGTGTTAACAGGCTTTACAGATCTCAACTTCTTATGCAGCTGGAACACCTCTCAGGGCTACATAAAATAAAAGGAGTGTGGACATTTTCACAGCCGGAGCCAGCAACTTCTACAAAGTTTCAGACAGCTTAGCAATGACGGCTTCATACACCAGAAAGATTTCTGTTTCATGGATACCTGGCTGTGTTCTACCTGTATCTTTGTGTCTGAATCTTATTCTTCTGTGCTGTTCAACACAAACTGTTCGTGCCATTGTAACTCCAAGTGTACCCTGAGACCACATTCTGAGGGCCATGAGTAAGAGCACCATAATGCTGCTGAATTACACCAACATGTTTTAAGATGTTTTGCCATAGTGAAGAGTATTGCCAAAGTATGATTTGAGACTGTGTTGATATATTTAAAAATACATTGTCCTTTGGCTATGATAATCCTGCCCATTTACACCCTTGCTCATCAGTTGACATGGGAAGTCTCCGTAACTTTGAACTAACTCTGCTTTACTCGGCAAAAAAAGGCACAGCGCATACGTGTTGTGTGGATCACATTTCAGATATGGCTATATTAAATCACGTTTAAAAGTAATTTAATTTGATCACAAACCATTCTCTGGCCACATCTTCACTCAGTGATGACTTAGTGAGTGTTTGCATTGAGTACTCATTTTCCCCCTTGAGGAGTTTCCTGCCTTGTTTTCCCTATTGTAGCTAATGTTAAACAGAAATCAGCTATTATGTTTCTTTAGCTATTAGCCAGATAAAGTTCTATGTTCTTGGGTTTTACCTAAGTGAAGTTTTATAGCTGCAGTAAGTTGGCAAAGTTCCTATTCAGCCTTTAAATCTTACTCTAAGCTAGGAAAGGAAAATGTCTATATTGTGATGCATTTTCTGCAGTTATCTACATTGATCAGCGAAATTCGAGGATGTTATATTTCTAATATTCCCTTCATCATCACAGTTCAATTTTCATGTTTCATTGTAAAAACCAAGAACCTAGCAAAAGTCATCATACCTTTCCACTTCCTCCTGGAGAAGAATCAATCATATCAATGCCTGTACAATCGTGGAGAATTTGGCCATTGCAGATAACATGTGGTACATAAACGTGCCCTTCAATGCAACATTCTACGAATTCCATGTTGTTCTCAGTTAACGTTCCTGTTTTATCTGTGAAGACATACTCAATCTGCAAATGAGCACAAATTAAAATTTTTCAGGAATATGAACAGAGATCTTCCGAGGTCTCTTAAAACTGAGATTATTACTGGGTTACACCTTCCTTTAAAGATCCTTATGCAGGCTCTTTCAGAAGAGGAAGACAACAATTTCTTTTGGGAGTCATCTTCCACAGAAACGTGGGGCCTGAAAGATTTTATCATTTAACAGTATCAGCAAAGCTATCTTTTGCCTCAGATCACATATAAATAATGCGTTTAACCTACTTTCCCTCTTCTCTCAAGCTCCTTTTTGATTTTTAATGTCTTTCTTGCTGCAAGACAGATATTTATGGAAACAAAATGCACACAAATTCCATTTCCCAGGGATCATTATTTTATGTACATGCCTGGATTTGGATCAGTTACTGTCAGAATGGTCTTTGTGGTAGTATCAGAATTCCCCACTACAATTACGTTAGTTTAAATGGGGACTCTGGACTAATGGTCACATACAGTTCTATACACGGGCCCTGTTATTGCCCTGGAAACACTCCTTTTGTCTCAATATTGAATTTTTCATAATTTTGTCTTTTACAATGAGCCTCAACATTTAAGGATAACAACACCAAAAATAAAACCAAAACCTGAACTATAAACCACCTAGATCAGTACAAGCTCAATTTTGGATACTTGACATAGGTATTCTATGTGGATTGCATGTATGTATTTGATAAACTGAGAGCATTATGTAATGTTAGGAATTAAACACTGTAAGTAAGGAAATTACTTAGTATTTTTCAGATTGTTTAACAAACTTCAACATTCATCAAGTGCATCAAACCAAATAAAAAAAAAATTTCTGCTCTCAGTCATAAGAGAAGTTTTTAAATATGTGAGCTTTCCTCCTAGATTGACTTTTCTAATATTCATTAATCCAAAAAGGCTAGTTTCCAAATTTTCCAATGGTTTACTATCTACGGACACAATACCTGTCCAGACAGGTTTTGATTATCTCTACGGATGGAGACTCTACAGCCTGCCTGGGCAACTCAGTCATTGTAAAATACTGTTTCCTGATGTTCAGAGGGAAGCTCCTGTGTTTCAGGTTGTGCCCATTGCTTCTGGTCCTGTCACTGGGCACCACTCAAAAAAGCCTGGCTCCATCTTCATTGCACCCTCCCTTCAAGTATTTCTGTACATTGGTAAGATCCTCCCTAAACCTTCCCTTCTCCAGGCTGGACAGTCCCAGCTCTCTCAGCCTGTCCTCACACAAGACACACTCCAGTCCCTTCACCACCTTCGTGGCCCTTCACTGGACTTCCCCCCCCCTGCCCCAGTATGCCCATGTCTGTTACGCTGGGAGCCCAGAACGGGTCACAGTACTCCAGGTGTGGCCTCACCAGAGCAGAGTAGAGGAGAAGGATCACCTCTCTCCACCCGCTCTCAATGCTCTAATGCAGACGAGGGTACCATTTGCTTTCTTTGCCATCAGGGCACATGGCTCGCTCGTGTTCAACCTGACGTGCAGCAGCAGTCTCAGGTCCTTTTCTGTCAAGCTGCTTTCCAGCTGGGTGGCCCTCAGTACACACTGTGCCCCCCCCATCCAGACCATTAATGATCAGGACCAGACCCAGTATTGACCCCTGGTGTACACCACTAGCTACTGGCCTCACACTACACTTCCCGCTGCTGACCACAACCCTCTGGGCCTGGCCGTTCAGCCAGTTTTCAGTCCACCTCACGATCTGCTCATTCAGCCCATAATTCATCAGTTTCTCTACAAGCATCTTATGGGAGACAGTGTCGACTGTCTCTCATAATAATAAAATATTTGGTATCACCTTTTATCCAAATAGATACATGCCCCTAAAAGTTTAATCACTAGTTTTGCTGTAAAAAAAAAAAAAATCCATCATTTATTTATTTGAAAACCCATGACAACATTTTTAAAAGAGATCCTAAATATTTTCTCAAAAAATATTCATGTCTATCTATGTCAAGGCAACGATTTCCTTAACACAGAATACTAAACATAGAATTTCTTTTGGAAAATGAGAACAACAGTCAATCATTTTACTGGATTAAACTTGTGTCTGGAGATTTGGTGTCAGTCTAGCCAGGCAAAAAGAGTTTTTTTTTCCACCTGACTTTTAGTCTAAGGAAGTTAGATGCTTATGTAATTTCCCTCTATAGGTAATAGAGAAAAATTATTACCTTCTTAAAGGTAATGTACTAATGGACTAATCATGTACTAATACAACAACAGTAATTGACTTCCACTGACTGGCTGAGAAACCAGAATTTTTTATTCTGAAAATCAGAAGATGTCAAATTTCATTTTTAATTAATCAAAACTAAAGAAAATGCATACTAAGCTGCAAAAAAAATTTGAAGTGACAATTTTGAAATAAAAAATCATAGTAGAAACAGTAAAAAAAAAAAAATCATTCATTGAAAATTACCTGTCCCAACTCTTCATTGAGGTCAGAAGTATTCACCAGTGGTCCTTCACCTGTGTCCTCATCAAACATTTCCTCATCCCATGTAAGGAAATAAGAACCAAGAAATTTCTGCATTTCCACAGTGACATACATGGATACAGGAATAATGTAGTTGAAAAGAACCATGAATGCAAGGAAGTCTGTAAAAGCTCGAAGAAACTGCCAAAGAAACAACATGAAAGTATTGTCATGAAAACATGACATGCAAATTTGTGAAGCGTTCCGTATTTTTTGAAAGTTGGACTTGATGATCTTACAGGTCTTTTCCAGCCTTAATGATTCTGTGATTTTTCATGTACCATCAAAAACCAAAAGATGACATACATTTGCAAATTTATTTTTTCCAGTAACTTTAAAACAGTAAGCAATACCTTTCACAGCTCACAGTTGCATAGGATGTATATCTTCATGATTTGTAACATCAAAAGTAATTTGGCATAAAGAAAAAACCTTTTTATTTTAAATCTGTATTTTTCTTAACAGGCATACAGGTGTAGAGTACAGTTACACATCACTGTTGTAAAGTTCTAGAGCAACTAATGAGAGTTGCTCATAATGAGTCTCATACACCTGTACAAGAATAAGGGAAACAATAAAATGTACATCCGCAAATTACCAGAAAAATACCATAAAACTAGAGTAACTTATTCAAGGATTATCAAATTATGTAACTTTGAGGCAGCATTTAATTAACAAATAAAGAGTTTCCCTTCCTTCCCTCAACACAAGTAGAATGTGTGCACACAACCTGGCTTTTTCAGTGGTGGAGTTTTGTTGGAGGTACAGTCAACCTGCTGAGCAGGTTGAGATAATGTTACTGGTGGTAACAAGCAGCCTAAAACATGTCTGGCTAGCGTATGCTCATCCTGCATTTCAGGTACAGAAGGAAATTTTCCCCTAGTCTGACTGGAAGGATTTAGTGAACTAATATTATGCTTTCTGTAGCGCGTGGTTCATTGTGTTACTTTGGATCATCGGGGTATCTGTTCAGGACATCAGACACTAGCACTCATGACAGATACAGGGCTATGTGAAACTAAGCGTTTAAGGGGTATTTTTACAGAGATTCCTACAGCGGATTATTTTGAACAAGTCTGTTATATGACTGCCAGTAGTTGCGGGATTCCTTTCAGTCCTGTATTTCTCTGCAACAGGTCAGTTCTTCAGTAAATGACATGAAACTCCAGAACAGTTTCATGAGGCTTTTTATACTAAACAGACATTTTCTCATCAGCTAAATTCACACATACAACTTAACTGCAAAAAATTAATATATAAGCTTTCTACAAACATACTGTCACCACTGCTGGCAAAAAGCGCAATAATTTATGATTGGTAAGTAAGCAGGCTGCATATACTTTTCAGTAGGATTCTTATAAATGAAGGGTTTAGTGAAATTTTTTTTGTATTTTAATTTATTTCCATACCAAATTTCTTTTCCTTTCTGGGTCCGTTTTCTGATTATACCATGGCTCATCACGAAACGGTTCACTCTGCCAGACATACTTCAGGACAGTATTTATTAGTGCTTTACTGATGAGAATACAGAGGTATACAATAAGGAATACATTCATTGATCTAAAAAAAAGAAAATAATAATTTCATTAGCATATAAATCACAGAATTTATTAAAAAATGTTATACTGGTGCTTCAGCCTAACATTTGCTGCAAGTCTAACAATGCTATGTTGTTAAATAATTTCTCTACAGTTTTTCCCAATGAAGAAAACTGTTACTGAGGACCATTTTCTATTTAAAATGCTAACTGCTATAACTGTTTCCAAAATGTGTATGACACATTACCAAACCCAGTATATTAGTGAAAACAATAGCATAGATGGAATCATAATAGAATATCCGGGCTTGTATCTGCGGACCTTTTTATGCCATTTCTCTGAACCAATATAAAAACACATAAATACTTTTAGAAATATAAATCATCAAGAACATTTTGCTATGTAGCTATGACAGTTTAACTCTTTCTAGACAGATGTGAAAAAAGAAGGAGCAAGAACACTTTGCATTGTAAACTGTATTTTCATTAATGATGGGCATGAACTAAAAGCCATGGGTTATACATCAATAACAACAGAAAGAGACACATCATCATTGCTCAGTCACTGCGTAAGAGCAGGGCTGTCAGCTGGCCAATACATCTTGCTTTAATCAATGATATATCTTTTTTCACAAGTCCGGACACCTTACTCGGAGCTGATGATTTTAGACAGCAGAGTAGGACGAAAAAATAATTCTCTCTATTTTCAAAAAAGTAAGCAGCCAATGCCAGCTCATTCCTTGAGGACAGTGGCGTCTCCCTTTCGCATCACATATGCCTACATGGAATTTTTAATTTTAGCTAAACCATGGAAAACCTGCCACAGACAGGCTTTGTGTTACTGCAGTTGATCCAAAGCGAAGTGCACCGAAAAAGTTATTTTTACTGAATTCAAGACTTAACTGCAAAGAAAAGGAATGTTAGTATATTGAAGCACATAATGTTGGAAAACTGTCAGTAGGTATCCTCTAACCAGTCAATGAAAAGACTTCTGTGACAGCAAAACACATCATATCTTAAAAAAGGTAAGTATTACATTAAGGTGACGTTTTTTAACATTTAATAATCATTCAGTATCGAGAACCTCATTCATATGGTATTATATGACTGATTTTAAGAGTCAAAATCATAAACAAAGTAAATTGTAAGTTCCTCTACCTCATTTTTCATTTAAATTAATGAAACAAACTTTTAGCAATAAAAAAAAAACCCCTTTTATTCATCACTCAAACATGCATTTTTCCACCCCCAAAATAAATTTTAGAAATTTTACTTTTCTACAGCAGATCGCTTCTGTGATTTTGCCTGGTAATTTAATGCCATCTTAGTTTCCATGCCGGTATAGATAGCAACACCTGAAATTACACAACTTGTTTTACTAAAGATTGCACAGCACAATAACTTCATAAAAGCACAAGTCACTAGATTACGATACTCTGTCATGTCTTTAATTCTCTGTAGTCTGAAGAAAAAGAACAAAGATTTGGATGTTACTCAAAACTAAAAGTGCCTTTAATATTTTGGTTCCTAGAGTGAAATTTTAGGCAGCATTCCAGAGTCACAGTTCCCAATTGCTAACATGTGTATCAAAGCCAAATCAAAACTGGGTTTTGAATAAAACCCCTTGCATTTGTAAATTCTTTTTTTGGCTTTAATTTTAGAATCTAAGTACTACACTGTGAAAGAAAATCCAGATAGGGCTAAACTACAGGATACATCCAAGAAGAATAAAAGGCAGTCATCAATTTTGCTTCAAGAAAATTTAATAATGCATGGAAAGAGTGACCTTTTGACAATACCAATTTCCTATTGATAACACAGATCGAGAGATTAAACTTCAGAAGATTAAATACAACTAAAAAAAGCTGTAAACAAGAAGACAGATTTAAAGTACTTATTAAACCAGCACACCTGCACTTTGCTAAAACAATTTAAGATATGGATTGTGGTGGGATAATGGCAAACACTGCATGCGTTTGGCAGACCAGAAACAACCAGTCATATCAGGAAGATCTCTGCCTGGTATACAAGTTATCAGAAATATTAAAACCACCCTCTGACATTTACAAAAATACTTACTATAAATAATTATATTAGTTCACCTATTTTAGATTACAATTACAAGCAAAGAGAGCAAGTTTAAATTAATATAAACTTTTGACA